ATTGTTTGATTCTAATAATTTTCCCACAGTTATATTTTCTGCACTCTATTTTGCTTGATGTTGACGCACATATGATCAGTGAGCCCGAGTATTATGGCTTGATGGGTACCCTATGTGGATTGATATAATGGGATCGGATTGCACGCCGCAATAGTACAATGATGAAATGTAACTCCTTATTCCTATTTCGTGAATTTTGCTTCCACCTTGTTGAAAATAGTTCATAGTGAAATGCTAAAATTTCCCTGCTTGCCTAACTTGCTTAGTAGTCTTCTTATTTAGTTTTCCTACGGTTATCTGTCATGTCTGAATTATTACTTGTTGGTATACAGAACCGGGTTGCGTGGGGCTCTATATGATTGTTATTGGTACTTGTCGGTGGGGCTGCTTGTATAGGCTCAGATATGGTTTCTAGACCTGAGATTTGCACTATTGTATTGGGATGAAGAAGGGTTGGATGAATAATACTATATTTTGCTGAGGATTTGGACAATAGCCCTGGTCGGACGAGTGAGTTTCTTGGCTTATTGATCGGATGAGTGGTTAAGAGGATATGCATGTTTCTTTCATCATCAGCAGGGTATGAAGGTTTCAAACGATGTTCTAACCGATATGAGGTTTGCTACCGGCACCAGATTTGTTTTCGGGCAGTAATAGTGGTAAGCAGTTCCTATTGTGAGCGTCGAAGTGATGGGGTATATCATGTGATTGATGCAACTTGTTCAGACTTATACAATGTGTAGACATGGGATTCGGGTCTTGTAACATATTCTGGATGATAGAGATTGGGGTCTAAGGTTTAAGGACCTAGGGTTGAAATAAGCATCTCTAGTTATGTTGTGTGGGCGGGCTTATGTGAAACAGGGTGACGTGGGATCACCCCCGGGATTGTGCATGGTAAGGTTACAACTTGATTTAACAGATTTGGAATGAATCCTAGCACGTTCGAGGACGAATGTATGTTTAAGTGGTGGAGGATGTAACGACCCGCTGGTCGTTTTGAGTATCTGCACTTCGCTCGATAGTTTGAGTTCTCGAGTATTTCCGCATGATGTATTATGACTTGCGTAAATCGTCGGTATTGGGTTTCAAGTTATCCGGAATCGATTTGGAAGAATAAACATCAAGAGTTAAGCTCTAAGTCGGAAGAGTTGACCAAGTTTGACTTTTTAGCATTGGACCTCGAAGTGGAGTTTCGTCAGTTCCGTTAGCTCCGTTGGGCGATTTTGGACTTAGGAGCGCGTCCGGATTGTAATTTGGAGGTTCGTAGTTGAATTAGTCTTGAAATGGCAAAAGTTGGACCGAGAGTGGACTTTTTGATATTGTTGTCGGATTGTGATTCTGGAAGTTGGAGTAGGTCCGTAATGGCAAATGTGACTTTTGTGTAAAATTTGAGGTCAATCGGAGGTGATTTGATAGGTTTCAGCATCGATTGTAGAAGCTGAACTCTCAAAGTTCATTGATTTTGACTTGAGGTGCGATTCGTCGTTTCGAGGTTGTTATGCGTGATTTGAAGCTTCAAGTAGGTTTGTTTTGTCATATAGAACTTCTCTGCAACAATTTGGCACCATTTGGAGTTGATTTGACATGGTTCGGATGGTTGGTTGCGATTCTAGAAGTTCTTGAAGTTTAGTTTGATCTTCATGTGTTTTGGCACTCGATTCGTGGTTTTAGAGGTTATTTTGATGATTTAGTTGCGTGAGCAAGTTCGTGTTGTGTTTTTGGACCTGGATGCATGGTTGGTTTGAAGCCTCGAGGGGCTCGGGTGAGTTTCAGATTGGTTTCAGAATGATTTTCCATGATTTTTGAGTGCAGGTACCGGTATCATCGCATTTGCGATGTTTTAGTCGCAAATGCGAAAGTCGCAATTGTGAAGCAGCCATCGCATTTGCATAATCTGGGATGCTGGGGAAGATTCGCAATGGCGAAGAATCCCTTCGCATTTGCGATGTGGGGTTGTTGGCATTTGTGAGGGACCTTGCCGCTTTGGCGATATATTGGTCTTCGCATTAGCGAAGTATTGGGTCGCAAATGCGAACTTGACAGGAAATCTACTCATTCGCTTTTGCGATGAGATGTTTGCATTTGCGTGAACCCCATGTCACAAATGCGACATATGCAGCTTGCATATAGCTGAGAATTCCGAGACTTAGCTTCATTTTGATATATTTTGAACCCTAGCTTCGATGGGAGGCGATTTTGTGAAGGGATTTTCATACCAAATCATTGGGTAAGTGCCTCTAATCAATTCTCAACTATATTTCATGATTTTATATAAGATTTAACATCGAATCCATGAGAAATCTAGGAAAAAATTTGGAAATTTTGTCAAAGTTTTGAAAAATAAAAATTTTGGATTTGAGAGTCAAATAGGACTTGAATTTGGAAACAAAACACATATTTGGACTCGTGAGGCTATGGGTAGTCAAGACCTACCTTGGACCCCGGTTTTGACCGGGCGGGCCCTGGGGTTGACTTTTAAGAAATTGTATAAAAATCACAGTTTTATTAATTAAAATTGTTTTCTCTTGCATTGTGTGATGTATTCAAGTCGTCTTTGGCTAGATTGAGTTGAGCGAAGGTGAATTTTTAAAGGAAAAAAGCTAAATTGAGTAATGAGTTAGCCGAATTGAGGTAAGTGTCTTGCCTAACTTTGTTGAGGGAATTTTTCCTACTATTTGTTATTGTTTGCTACATGCGGGGGTGATACATATATGAGGTGATGAGCGTATATGTAGGTGTCAGGGTTAATCATGCTTTGGGGTAGATTATATTATAATTGTGTCTTTTAGAATTATGTGACCTTCTTGCTTCATGCCTTACTTGAGTCTTAGATACTAAGAACATAATGTTAAATGTTAGAAATCAAGACTTAGCTTATTATAACATGATCAAATTCGATGGAATTATGAGAATACATTGATGTGTCTAATTCGGTCATCACTATGCGTATTCATTAATACATTGCTACAGCCGATATTCTTTAGATACTAGATTCAATATTCGTGTTGTAGATCATTCTTGAGAATTGTTGAAACACTTGAGTAATACGGTTCTTGAGGGTTTATTGAATTATTGATGGCATTGTGAAGTTGTGATTGGGATTCGTTTGGAATATTCATTTAAACACTCTCCTTGATATTATTCTTGCTTCCTGCCTTGTTTGTCATTGATATACATATGCTTGGTAAGGAAGAGTGTAAAGCACGAAGGGTGATGCCATGCCATTGTTTATACATTATCATGTAAGGGAGAGTGTAAAGCACGAGGGGTGATGCTGTGCCATATCATTTGAGAGTAAAAGCACGAAGGTGATGTCGTGCCATATTATTGAGAGTAAAAGCACGAAGGATGATGCCGTGCCACATTATTGAGAGTAAAAGCACGAAGGGTGATGTTGTGCCACATCTTTAGAGAGTAAAAGCACGAAGGGTGATGCCATGCCATTTTATTTATATTGTTATGCTTTTATATAATCGTGAGATCATGGCACGATGGGTGTTTTTGTTCAGGCGAGGATGAGGGACATGCATTATGTAGTGATATCTGTTTTCCGTGTATACGTTCATGTCTTTATCTTGAGCGGTTATTCTCGTACTTATTGATCTTGTGTGACTTGCTGTTATTGTCCTGTCCTTGTTCAATATTTTAATCGTTGTTGTGTTGTCCATATCTTCTACTTGTTTAATTTGCAAATACATGCCTACTTCCTGCTGTTATAATTATATCCATGTCGTGCCTATTCTGTTGCACTTTAGTACAAGCCCTTTTTCTATGTTAGTCATTCATGCCTCTACTTGTTAACTTGTAAATATCATGTGTTTCCTTCTTATTTGTTATACCTGTACTAGTTGAAGTTGATATTCCTTGTCTTCTAATTGCTGTCATTACTCACATGCTTTCCTCCTAGTCTTTTACTGTTGCCCACATGCATATCCTCGTTCATTATTGCTACTTGCATATTTCCTACTTTGTAATTCCTGTTATCGGTATTTCTATCATCTGGTTGGTTCTTTTGTACGTATATTGGGTGAGGATGAGATAAAAGCACGATGGGTGTTGCCGTAGAATCGACTTGATATCTGAGTACATTCCTCATGCTATGAAAGTTATGAAGTGACTGTCGTGATTTATTGGTTTCATTCTAAGGAAATGATTGGTCAAGGTATTGTAAGACGCTGAATTGTGATCTCTACTAGCACTCGGTTATTATTTTGCGTATTCGTTTCATGTATTCTTCTCTGATATATCGAGGTATAGTTCTATTGCTGATTTACGGTGCAGGTGTTATCAGTGAGTAACTTTAAACTAAAAAGCCTCATCACTACTTTGACGAGGTTAGACAAGATACTTACTAGGTACATGGGGTCGATTGTACTCATACTAAACTTCTGCACCTTGCGTGCAGATTTTTTTTGGAGCGGAGATGCTGGTGATGTCGGGAGCTGACTCTGAAGATGTTCGTGCATTCCGGATATAGCTGCCGCTTTTCCTTGGTAGCTTAGGTCTTGTTAATCTGTTATGTAAATTTCAAACAGGTCGTGTAATTATTTGTACCAGCTTTGTAAATTCAAAGTCTTAGAAGCTCATGATTCGTATTACCAGTTCGTGGATCAATTTGTAAATGTTCATATAATTCTTTACTATTTTCCTATAATCTCATTTGGATTGTATTTTCTGTTAGTTGACTTACCTAGTGGATCAAGTTAGCGGCCATCACGATTAGTGATTTTTTGGTCGTGACAGTTACAATTGATAATAACAAAAATAACAATAACAATAACAAATTCAGCAATGATTCGCACCTGAGGTCTGACTTCAATTGCTAAGATTTGTAATTATATTGTGCATCACCTTCATCATTTCTAGGATATGAGAACTCTATAAATACTTAAAACTAGTCTTTTACGTATGTATATATACTAGGTGGTGGTGCCCGTGCCAGCACGGGCCCAATGCTCTAAAAGTTAGAGCTATAATTTTTAATGTTTTTTATGAAATGGCAGCGAAAGAAATATATGCATACAAGTGACTACTAAGTTACAGACAACATTACATCGATGGGCCTAAAATGACAGAGACATAGATGCATGTACATGATCACTAACTAAATCCGATATAAGCAACAAAACTACTAATTCCTCGATGTTATCTAGATGCATTTCGGAATAAATACACACTCATGGATGTGGTATGGTTGCCAACTGATACATTCTTTACATTCATGTGAGCACAACAACAATGTACTCAAATGATAATTGAAAATACCATATCCTCCACTCTGATAAGCCACACCAGCAAATTCAAGAGATGTTTTACATATGAAAATGCCGTTGTTCCTTTTCTACCATAAAGGAGTTTAAATCCCACCTGCAGTACTAAAAGACACAGCTTATACCTCCTTGATCATGTCATTTCACTTAATAACATCTCCAATAGAAGTTGTTCCAACTTTTTTTTTTTGCAACTTCTCTATTGGTAGTTACTCTGTACTATAACTTTGAATAATTATATCCTGCAATATATGAAATACGTAGTTCAGCAAAATGGCATACAAAATCTCACATATCATAAACAAAAGTTATATTAGAAGATAACATCTTTATAACATGGACAAGCCACGACCACGTTCAACTCTAATGCAGAAAACATAACAGACCCAGATAGTAAGGTAACATGAAAGTCTCACCTCATCACTCTCTATTATTTTCAAACTTCCATGGTCCATCGTTGATATTTTATGTTCCAGTTCTTCACATATACTGATGACTCCATAATTATACTAATACACAGATATAGCCATACAAATTGACTCTAAACCAGATTAACACAACTTTCTTCCATTTGTTAACCTTTTAAACATGACCAACACACATCAACACCCAACGGTAGACATAAAAATAAAAAGTTACCTCTGTTGTTTAGTCACTAATCCTATTTTCTACGTCAAAAAACAAACTTCATAAATTCCTTTACACAAAGTGCTTTGATGGAACTATAATTTGACGACGTGAACATTTGAAATGACAACACAACCAGTAAAGATAGTGTGCTATATACAGATTTTACCATCCTCACCTGCTATTATCTCAAATTACTTCGGTGGGAATGCGACGCATTTAATTTCAAGACTGCACCACTTCATAAATCAAATTCTGCCGATATAATGTGGTAAGAAGTGTTAGTAATCTGTATTTGTAAAATAATTCTGAAAAATATAAATGAACATAAATAGGAATGTAAAGGAAATAACAAAAACCAATTCGAGCCCATTGAATTCACAAAGTTTCCTTAAGGAATTTAATCCCCTCCTGGTACCCAAGGTTATGGATTATTTCCTCCCATGATAGAACGAATTACACACTGGCGTAGAGGTACTTCAAACCCCAGTGTTTCAGCGAACACAAAGTTCGGTAGCAAATCACACTTACTGTTGCTTTTAAAAGTATCCAGAAGAAGGAGGAGAAACTCAGAAAATCGTATGAAAATTCTGAGCAGAATAGCCTTGTATTTATAGCCAAAGTTGGGCTGGAATCTGAAGAGGTGTAACTCTTCAGAATGGCTGTTTATGCAAAACGGCCACAGCATAAATGCCATAACATAAATGGTTATTTACTCAAAAATAAAGAGGGAAAATAAAAAGGAAAAATTGAAGGGTAGTTAATTTTCTGTTACAAAAACAGAAAACTGAAATTTGGATAACTGAATTGGATTTAATATTAATATTTATTTTAATATTAATATTCTGTTATTAAAACAAATATTTAATAACATTTCTGTTAATATTTTACTATTAACAAATAAATTTGGTCCAAAAATTAATCAATCGATCGATCTTTTGACCGAATCCGAATCTGAATCCGAATCCGAATCCGAAGCCGAAGCCGAAGCCGAGCCAAGTGACGACGGCGGCGCGAGGCTTGCCTTCTTCTCAACTCTTTATGAGCTAGAAGAAGAGTAATTGCTTATATACCCATCAAAAACCTTTTCCTCTTCCAATATGGGACAATGTCCCTTTTCCAAGGGGGGAAACTTAAAATTTCATTCAAAAATTTCATTTCCCTCCATTTCCCATTCACCCTCTTTTAAGTATTTAATATAATTAAATACATAAAAACCCAACAATCCCCCGCATGACTGGGAATGGCTATATCACGAAAACATGCATGAAAAACTGTGTGATTCGCAAGCAAGGATTAATTGCATCTGGATAAGTAGGTTTCCCTATGAACTTTCCGTAGTTAACTTATGTCGGATATACTCGATCAATCGGTAGATTTGATATCTATGAACCGTCGAACTTTAGTGCATACCTAGACAACCAGAAGTCACACAACCAATCCTTAACCGCCTTTGGTTCTCATTGTTGTGTTCGTTTCAGCCATGAACACCGCCTGGTTTCATAAGTGCGTAGAGAACTGGCCTTCCAGAGTTCTCCTTGAAGCAGCTAACACTTCACACTTACATAGGTGATTCCTAAACGTGTCATTCCGTAGATACACTATTTGATATACCCCGTATCAAATTTAGAAATCATTAAAAACGCCTTAATACTTTATCCTTTGGTACTGAACATTGTCTCATCATGAGAATGGACCAAAAGTTTAGTTGACAATATTGAACCGTCATTAATGACTTTGTTTGATCTCCTTGAACCTAGATCTTGGGATCTCCAATCTTCTAGGTAAAGTTACCGCCACTATGACTTGTTCTCGGCCATAGTCCCATTCCCCTTGATGATTTCTCACCTCTCTAGTTAGGCCTTTTGTAAGTGGATCCGACACATTGTCACTTGACTTTACATAATCAATCGTGATAATTCCTCTAGAGAGTAATTGCCTAACGATTTTATGTCTTCGTCGTATATGACGGGATTTACCGTTATACATAACGCTCCCAGCCCTTCCAATTGCCGCTTCACTATCGCAATGTATGCATATTGGTGGCAAGGTTTGGGACAAAATGGAATATCTTCCAAGAAATTCCGGAGCCATTCAGCTTCTTCACCGGCTTTATCTAAAGCAATGAATTCAGCCTCCATTGTAGAGCGGGCAATACAAGTTTGTTTGGACGACTTCCAAGATACCGCTCATCCACCAATAGTCATATCCACTTGTGGACTTAGAATCAGTTGATCTGGTGATCCAATTTGCATCACAGTATCCCTCAATGACCGCAAGATATTTACTGTAGTGCAAAGCAAAGTCCTGGGTATGTACTAAATACCCAAAACTCGTTTCATGGCCATCCAATGAGATTGACCTGGATTGCTCGTATATCGACTCAATTTACTTATAGCACAAGCTATATCTGGGCGTGTACAATTCATGATGTACATTAAGCAACCCAACACACAAGCATAATCCAACTGTGATATGCTTTGGCCTTTGTTCTTTGCTAATGCAAGATTTACGTCAATTGGAGTCTTTGCAACTTTAAAGCCCAGGTGCTTGAATTTTTCAAGTATTGTCTTAATATAATGAGACTGTGACAATGCCAGACCCTGAGAAGTCTTATGGATCTTAATTCCCAGAATTAAATCAGTAACTCCCAAGTCTTTCATATCAAACTTGCCAGTTAGCATGCGCTTAGTCGCATTTATGTTGGCAATGTCATTACTCATTATCAACATATCATCAACATATAAGCAAATAATGACTATGTGATTTGGAACATTCTTAATGTACACACATTTATCACATTCATTTATTTTAAAATCATTTGACAACATTGTTTGGTCAAATTTCACATGCCATTGTTTGGGTGCTTGTTTTAGTCCGTAAAGGAACTTAACAAGTCTACATACCTTCTTTTCTTTACCTGGAACCACAAACCCTTCAGGTTGTTCCATGTAAATTTCTTCCTCCAACTCTCCATTTAAGAAGGCTGTCTTAACATCCATTTGATGAATTTCAAGACCATAAACTGTAGCTAACGCTACTAACGTTCGTATGGACGTAATTCTTGTAACTGGAGAGTATGTATCGAAATAGTCAAGACCTTCTCGTTGTCTATACCCTTTGACCACAAGTCTTGCCTTAAATTTGTCAATAGTGTCATCATCTTTCATTTTCCTCTTAAAGATCCATTTAGAACCCAACGGTTTATTTCCAGGAGGAAGATCAACCAATTCCCATGTATGGTTATTCAGTATGGATTCTATTTCACTATTGACTGCCTCTTTCCAAAACAATGATTCCGAATAAGACATAGCTTCTTTAAATGTTTGAAGCTCATTTTCCAATAAGAAAGTCACAAAATCTGGTCCAAATGAAGTAGACGTTCTTTGACGTTTACTACGTCTTGGATCCTCTTGGTTAAGTGTACTTTCTTTTGTTTCTTCCCGAGGTCGTTTAGATCCTTCACCAATCTACTCACATTCCTTTTTATACGGATATATGTTTTCAAAGAACTCAGCATTATCTTATTCTATAACCGTATTATTATGAATGTTGGGATTTTCTGATTTACGAACAGGAAATCGATATGCTTTACTATTAGTCGCATATCCTATGAAAACACAATCAACGGTTTTCGATCCTAGTTCTACCCTTTTGGGTTTAGAAACTTGCACTTTTGCCAAACACCCCTACACTTTAAAATAATTCAAGTTGGACTTCCTTCCTTTCCATTTTTCATATGGAATGGATTGTGTTTTGCTATGGGGTACTCGATTTAGTATTCGGCTAGCCGTAAGAACGGCTTCCCCCCACAAGTTCTGTGGCAAACCAGAACTTATCAATAAAGAGTTCATCATCTCCTTTAATGAAGGATTCTTTCTTTCTGCAATCCCATTGGATTGGGGCGTGTAAGGGGCCGTTGTTTGATGAATAATTCCATATTCTAAACATATTTGTTCAAAAGGAGATTCATATTCACCACCCCTATCACTTCATATCATTTTGATTTTCTTGTTAAGTTGCGTTTCAACTTCATTTTTGCATTGCTTGAATGCTTCTATTGCTTCATCTTTACTATTAAGTAAGTAAACATAACAATATCTAGTACTATCGTCAATAAAAGTTATGAAATACTTCTTTCCACCGCGAGATGGTATTGACTTCATATCACAAATATCTGTGTGAATTAAGTTTAAAGGATTTGAATTCCTTTCAACTTACTTATAAGGATGTTTAACATACTTAGATTACACATATACTTGACATTTTGATTTGTCACATTCAAACTTAGGCAATACTTCCAAATTAATCATTTTTCATAAAGTTTTATAATTGACATGACACAAACGTATATGCCATAATTCATTTGACTCAACTAAGTAAGACGAAGCTGAAATTTTATTATTATTTTCAACAACCATTACATCCAGCTTGAAAAGGCCCTCGGTGAGGTAACCTTTTCCTACAAACATCTCGTTCTTACTTATTACAACCTTATCAGATACAAATACACATTTAAAATCATTCTTAACAAGAAGTCCAGTAGAGACTAAATTCTTTCTAATCTCGGGAACATGAATGATGTTGTTCAAAGTCACCACTTTGCCGGAAGTCATTTTGAGAAATATCTTCCCACATCCTTCAATCTTGGCCTTTGCAGCATTTCCCTTTGAAATCGTCTCATCGAGTCCAACATGAGCATAAGTAGCAAAAGCTTCTCTAACAGCACAAACATGGCGAGTAGCTCCAAAATCAATCCACCACTCTTTAGGATTGCCCACCAAGTTGCATTCGGAAAGCATGTCACATTAGTCATCAACATCATCATGCTTTTCAACCATGTTCGCTTGACCCTTCTTCTTGTCTTTCTTCGGAGCACGACACTCCGTAGATTTGTGTCCGGTTTTTCCACAGTTGTAGCAGTTTCCACTGAACCGCTTCTTGCTTGGGTTGTATTTCGTTCCAGAAGCCTTCTTCCTCTTTTTGTTCTCTTTAACAATATTTTCTCCCATTATTGTTGAGTTTTCACGGCCTCTCTTTTCCGCAGCAGAAGCCTTCTTCCTCCTTTTGTTCTCTTTAGCAATATTTTCTCCCATTATTGTTGAGTTTCTACGGCCTCTCTTTTCCGCAGCTTTGTTGTCCTCTTCGATTCTCAACCGAACAATGAGATCTTCAAGGGACATCTCCTTGCGTTAGTGTTTCAAGTAGTTTTTGAAGTCTTTCCACAAAGGAGGCAACTTCTCAATCATCGTTGCTACCTGGAATGCTTCATTGCTGACAAGACCTTCAATGAAATTTCTGTTAGTAAAAACACTAAGATTACTACTTTCAACATCAATATTAATTTGATTTATACCTTCAACAAGGAGATCGTGAATAATCATTTACAATTCCTGGACTTGGGTAATAACAGACTTGCTATCTACCATTTTGTAGTCCAAAAACTTTGCAGCAATGAACTTCTTCAACCCGACATCTTCGGTTTTGTATTTCTTTTCAAGCGCAGTCCACAGTTTCTTTGACGTTTCCACGCCACTGTAGACGTTATACAAAGCATCCTCCAGCCCGCTTAGAATATAATTCTTGCACAAAAAATTTGAATGCTTCCACGCCTCAATCGCAAGAAAGCGTTCAGTTTCTGGAGTTTAATCGGACAGCACAGGAATATCTTCCTTCATGAACTTCTGGAGACTTAGAGTAGTCAAATAGAAGAACATCTTTTGCTGCCAACGCTTGAAATCAATCCCGAAATATTTTTCGGGTTTCACCGTCGGTGCCAATGCTACCGGTGTTGTTCGGCTCGTTGAGGCATTGGCAGTCTCCGTTGGAATAGCTTGGTTCACATTATCATTAGTCATTTCTGTAAAAGAATGACACAAACGTTAAAATCACGTAGATTCTAATAGAGTACAAAACCACACATGTTTTACTCTCCAGAAACAGTGAGTACAAACACAGAAAATATATTAAATTCTTTAAGCTTGTTAGTAATCTGTATTTGTAAAATAATTCTGGAAAATATAAATCAACATAAACAGAAATGTAAACGAAATAACAAAAACCAATTCGAGCCCACTGAATTCACAGTGTTTCCTTAAGGAATTTAATCCCCTCCTAGTACCCAAGGTTATGAATTATTTCCTCCCAGGATAGAACGAATTACACACCGGTGCAGTGGTACTTCAAACCCAGTTTTCAGCGAACGCAAAGTTCGGTAGCAAATCACACTTACTGTTGCTTTGTTTGATGTTAAAAGCATGCAGAAGAAGGAAGAGAAACTCAGAAAATCGTATGGAAATTCTGAGCAGAATAGCCTTGTATTTATAGCCAAAGTTGGCTGGAATCTGAAGAGGTGTAACTCTTCAGAATGGTTGTTTATGTAAAACGGCCACAACATAAATGCCATAACATAAATAGCTATTTACTTAATAATAAAGAGAGAAAATAAAGAGGAAAAATTAAAGGGTAGTTAATTTTCTGGTACAAAAACAGAAAACTGAAATTTGGATAACTGAATTGGATTTAATATTAATATTCTTTTATTAAAACAAATATTTAATAACATTTCTGTTAATATTTTACTATTAACAAATAAATTTGGTCCAAAAATTAATCAATCGATCATTTGACCAAAAATCCGAAGCCGAAGCCGAGCGAGCGACGACGGCGGCGCGAGGCTTGCCTTCTTCTCAACTCTTTATGAGCTAGAAGTAGAGCAATTGCTTCTATACCCATCAAAAACCTTTTCCTCTTCCAATATGCGACAATGTTCCTTTGCTAAGGGGAAAAACTTAAAATTTCACTCAAAAATTTCATTTCCCTCCATTTCCCATTCACCCTCTTTCAAGTATTTAATATAATTAAATACATAAAACCCAACAAGAAGAAATAAGAAAAAAATGAAGTCATGAGTAGTTCATTGTGATACATCAATCCCATCTCTTTCTCCGTGGACTTGGTCTTATGTGACTTTAGCATCCGTAAGTCTATTTTGTGTCACTGAATGGTGGAAAGAAAGAACACAAATTACAGAGACAAAATCAGTTGCAGTAGGTACTTACTTTTTACTGGTGTATGACAACTAAATCAACCTCAACAGTTGTCCACTACCAGAAGGAAGTTTCTATCAAAGGTTGACTACAACGACAATGAAAGATAAAAAATTTAACAAAGAAGTTAAACGCACGAAGTAAGTCCCAGCAACCGTGAACTGGTCTTAACTACTTTCTATTTTAATAACACGGGGATATGTGAATGAGAAGCTCACCTTGCAGAGTGAAGTATGTGGCTCCACTCGCCAAACCAAGAATTCTATTTAGCTTTATCCCAGGCAAGTATTTCTGGCTACGAACTTAAGCACTTAGTCCCAAATAAGTAACACCAAATAAGAAGGCATATCATCAAATATTATAGGTGCATGGTCCAACTTAAAAATTTCAGCAAGTAAACAATGAAAGATTTATATAGGTGGAGAAAAACATATTATTAAAAGAAAGTGTGGCGCAAATCAAGGGGCCCAAACTTACCGCAGCAATTTTCACCTCAGATTTTTGTACGATAATTTAATATTGAACGAATGCGTTGATATCTGTTTTCTTAAAGTTGTGTACCATTCAAGAATAGCCAGACTGAATTCTAAGAATATAAAAGTAAACTCTTAGTCCTAACTCAACCAAAACCCTCTAGAATTTCCTAGTTCTGTTAAAATTCATATTTGTTCACAAGTAGATAAGACAACATGAATTAATTCCAACCCAAGCTGACCAGAAGACCACTGTGTTGAAAAACTCAAACTCAACATACCAAAGTAGGAAATTAAGTGTGTAAGACCAGTGGAATAGACACATCGCCACCCCCTTTGTAGAACAATATCTTTGGAGTGAAGGCAATGTATAATACAGAGATTCCGGATTCATTAACAATTTCTCCAGCTGCAGAATCATGCGTTATTGATTGAACTGAACTACTTCTGACAATACATCTAATATCCACAAATAATTATTAATGGGTACCAGAGAAAAGGAGAACCAAAATCCATGTAAGTTGAATAAAAGGAGGAGAACTAACTACCCCACCGTGAAGAAATTCATAGATGTAAAGAACAAATTGGGAAATACTGAAGAAGAAAAAAAATAGAGATAGAACTCGCCCAAGCAGTATAAGCGATGAATAGACGAAGTCAATAGCTAGCAAAAGAAGATGCGCAAAGACAGGTATAAAACTCGAAAGCAAATGACAAATACTGATCGAAAATAAAGAAGCGCAAAACCAGATGATTGCCAAACTTAATAAAAATTGACAAAGGCAAAGCAAATTTATAGTTAGCCTGAGAAACCCGAAAGAAGATTTAAAGGACGACATGAAACAAATTCAGAGAGATTGAGAAGAAACTAACCCAGGAGCACACGGCAGGATGGAGAATAGAGGGAAGGTATGTAGGTTGATGGAGCTCTGCTTTTTGCTCTAAGTTTGAACTTTGAAGGCATGTTGCTGTGTTAGCGCTATAAAACACGTTGATAGCAGTGATGTTGTGGCTATAGATTTAGGAGACACGTTGAAAATCCAAATGGGCAAATGCTTTGAAAAGTCAAAAATACCCATGATGTCGAATTTATTGGCAATAAGCACACACGCTCGAACCTTGAGCTTTTCTATTATATATATATATATATATATCAAAGACATGTGAAGAGAAAAGAAAGGTACTAGTATTATGGAACTTTGGCTTCTTTCACGAATTCACGTACTGAAAAGAACGATTCGAATCAAAACAGTGGCTCTTGGCAGTTTGGATAAGAGAAGTGATCAGCCTTAATTTATGAGCTACAATATGGACCATTAATATCCTTTACGTGTACTTTTGTAGTCTCATCGTTTAATAAAGTTTCATACAAAAGCAGGTGAATAATATGTGAATTTGTCATCTTCAATAATGAGAGGTACTATTACCAAAATATATTTTGTAAAAGGTAAGTGCCAGTTTTTCGTTTACCAACAATGCACGGAAAGTCCGAGTAGGGTTAAAATTGAACACGAACTTGTGGTTCAACTAGATTTGAACTTATAGTAAAATGAAATTAGATTTGAAGTTATCTTAACCTTGATCACTTAGACAAGGTCTCAACTCTCAATTAACTTGAATATATTTCATCTTCATGTGTTACATGTTCCCTTCCAGGTATTGAATTATGGCATGGCAATTCGTTAAATCTGCAGGGCAATTAATTAAGAATTTAAGCCAATCTATGATATTTAATTTGTGGGAATATGGTCTAGGACCTACCGTAAAGAACATGCAGCAGCAATTCAACTAAAGTGATCAGTAGTTATTACAAATCTCGGTGTAACATAAACCGGATTAGAGAATAGAACAGAGAACAAAATGGTCTCAAACATTTTCAGTTTGAGGGACATTAGAGAAAGAAAATTAGATAGTGGAGTATAATATTTTGTTACTTCTGAAGATGACAAAGATATTATCATAGCAGTTTGGAGTAAACCAGGTCTGAATTCATATGCAGATGATCCGAGGGCTGCTGCAAATTCTCTAAAGCCCCTTGTTGAGAAAGCTGAAGCTGTTGTTCCTAAGAGTTTACAGCCTCAAACCCCAGTTAAAATTGGGCCGGGGTCATTTAACTATTTGTCAGTTGTCACTCTTCTGAGCTAGATTAATAGGAGTAATTAATATTGTTCTGGAAATCATCTCTATTATTGTTCATCACTTTTTTTCCGGTCAAATTAAGTTGTGTATATTGTTTTGGTTGCGTATTTAGTTTGGGACTACGGAACGGTATTTCGGGAGATCCCCTAGACATTTATATTTGGGACTAAGGGACGGTATCCCGGGAGATCCCCTTGTACCGGATATTTATTTTGGGACTACGGGGATCGGTATTCCGGGAGATCCCCCTGCACATTTACGATTTGGACTACGGGACGGTATCCCGGGAGATCCTCTGCACATTTACGTTTGGGACTGCGGGACGTTATCCTGGGAGATCCTCTGTAGATATCTCTGTGTACTGCGTTATTTCTTTCCGTGACTTCATCTTTATTAACTGTTAGTATTACAATTATACTGTCACATTTCATACTGTTTACCATGTTATACATATATAACCAGTAGGGCCCTGACCTTTTATCGTCACTACTCGGCCGAGGTTAGGCTTGACACTTACTGGGTACCGCTGTGATGTACTCATGCCCTTTCCTGCATATATTTTTCTTGTGCAAATCCAGGTTCTGCTGCTCAGCCATACTATCCGTGAGGCGAGGCAGCCCAGAGACTTTGAGGTATATCTGCCGTGTCCGCAGACCTAGAAGTCCCTCTCCATTCTCCCTTCAGTTATAAGCTTCTTGTATTTTTCCTTTGTTTAGACTTCTGGAGTTAGAACGCTATGTATTTCTTTAGCTTGTGATTTATGAGATTCCGGGTTTTGGGAGTGTTATTATTGGTCTAGGGTGTTATTATTGTATATGCCGAGCGGCATTTTAAACACTTTATTTATACTTACCTGTTAGTTGGCTAGTTTTGTACTTTTAATTCTTTTTTCGCTAATTGTTAGGCTTACCTAGTCGTAGAGACTATGTGCCGTCACGACAGTTCATGGAGGGAGAACTTGGGTCGTGGCAAAAATTTGAGAAATTTTTTATACGCAAATATGCCAAACACTCCGATCAATAGTCATCCAGGATATCAAACATAAGATTTCACTTTCTTACAAAATAATTATATCATCACACAATATCAATTATATCTTGTAAGACCTAGTCAATAAAATCCTATACCTCTATTATTGAATTTAATACAATAACACGTTTATTTACTAATAGCCAATGTGCAAACCTATTATATCATTAGTATTTAATCATGAGACCATTGGGAGTCACCCCCACCACCATTGAATTAAAAACGAATTAAATTATCAAAAAGTAATTTCCAGAAAATAGAAAAACGTCCAAAACACAGTCCAAACGGCCTCAAAACGCCGAAAAACACCATGATTCGTTGCTAAATTACTCACCACGTCGTTTCCGATGGACCCACCAAATTTCAGCTCAATCGGAGTCCGTCAAGTTCGCTGACCTCCGAAAATACCGGCAATTCGGTCAAAATCATGTTTTGCGTTTTTCTAGTGTTTACCAAAAAAATATCCAGATCATCCCAATCAAATATCAATAAAAACTAGATATCTCATGATTACAAGAATAATCCAAATTTGCACAGTTAATTCACAAAGCAGTACTGCAGTTTTTTAGGAAACCACATATACATGTACTTCAAAAATGCATATAAACACGATGTTCTTGTTTCGTGAAAAACTTAGTTATCTAATTAGATGTGAGTGGGCTCTGATACCAATTGATGGATTACAATAAGCATCGGAAGCAATTCCTATATCAAAATTAGATTTAATCTAGACAACTAGTATAAACGGGATTTCACGGGTTACCTCTTGAAGCGTGGACAAAGCTCCTCTATCACGTGAGCCTCAAATTCCACAGCAATTCGATGGAATTTTCATCACCTGCACGATCACGATCTCCGAACGTTCGACGGTCTTCTACTGTGTTACCCAAATAATATTCGGAAATAGCAATTTCGTGTGGGCAAATTTCTAGGAAAACTTGGCTGAAAATTTCGGCCACCATATACTACTCCCTCTAGGCGAAAAACCTTATGTATTTAGCACAAGTTTTAAGGGTTAAAACCCTTTTCTAAAACCTGTTGGGTTTTTCTTTTCCACCAGAAAAATGATTCATTTATTTCCTATTATTTAGGCACAGTAGGGACCACATAATTTAATTAAGAAGACTCCAATTATGGAATTAATTTCTAATTTTTGAAATTAATATCTACCATAATTAATTATGAATTATTCCACTAAAAATTTATAATTGCACTCCTTATTCAATTTCGAAATTCATCCATTAAATCTTATTTAACTCCCCATGTTAAGATCAGATACTAATCAATTAAATTAAATTATTGACGAGTTAATTTATTGATTATTTCCTTTAGACTTTCGCTTAACTTATTTCATGTGTCGGATACAAAATTCACCAGCCGGGTTTACACATAAAAACTTATAAGCTTTCATAAAGGTGTATTATCAATCTCTAAACCAAGACATGGATTCCATCAACTAACTATTACTTTGCCAATGTACATTATTATTATTATCCAATTTACCAGGCATATTGACCCACGAAAGAATCTCGCCTTTTAATAAATCAAAACAATAATAATGTACACAACTAATAATAATTATATCAAGATTAAGAGTATAAGTATATTTAATGGCTAGAGAGTTTATTTTATTAAGTCAGTATAAAATACTTATCTCTACTTGGTCCGTTCAATACATACAAAATGTACTACCACAAGAAGTTGGAATTAAACCATTCCCGTAATCAAGATAAATTATATTAATCTTGTGCCACAATCATCCATGATGGTTTGTCCAATTCCATCATTAGATTGTGAACTCAAACTTTATACTTATAAGAACTGATGATTTAATCTTCCGTGTATAAGCTAAACTCTATAAACTAAATCATCAACTATATAAGCAAAGACACAGACTAATAGATGATCTATTTAAAACTTTATTAAAATTGAATAAACAATTCTTCCATAATAAATACTATATCTGAACCAAACCCATGGTTAATAGTATATATATTCCAACAATCTCCCACTTAGACTTTTAACCATGACAATTATTAGAATATACTATATCCAAATGCATGGTTAATAGTGTATGCCCGAACAGTTTTATGAGGCAAAGTGTTGGCCGGTTAAGAACTCACATATCCAGAAGATGAAAGTAGCAGAAATGAGGATATTGAGGTAGATGTGCAGGCACACTAGAATGGATAAGATTAGGAATGAAGATATTGGTGAGAAGGTGGGCAAGGCTCAGATGGTTCGGGCACGTGCGGAGGAGAAGTCCGAATGCCCCGGTAAGGAGATGTGAGCATTTGGCATTGGCGAGTACGAGAAGAGGTAGAGGGTGGCCCAAGAAATATTGGGGAGAGTTGATCAGGCGGGACATGACTTGGCTTCAAATTTCTGAGGACATGGCCCTTGATATGAAGGTGTGATGGCCGAGCATTAGGGTTGTAGGTTAGGAGGTAGTGGAGCACCTTTCTACTTCGTGCCCGGTGAAAGGCTTGACAGGGTTGTGTCCTAGATTGCTAGTGGTTATTGTTGTGTCCATACTATTCTTCCACTTTTCATAGTACCGCGCCTTACTTACGTGTTATTGTTATTACTTTTCATCTATTTTCTGGTACTTATGATGCTGTTATTATTTCTATGATTTCTGTTGATGGTACTGATATATTGTCTTTTTTTGTCTCCTTGAGCCGAGGGTCTATCGAAAACAGTCTCTCTACCCTCTTGGGTGGGGGTAAGGTCTGCGTACACTCTACCCTCCCCAGATCTCACTTGTGAGATTTTACTGGGTTGTTGTTATTGTTGTAGTAGTATGTCACAGATAGTAACTACCTAGATATAATATTTGAGAAGAATTCTCTCCTTTTCTCGTTTGGTGTGTTTC